TCTCCATTATTGGACCAAGAAAACTCTGCATGCTATAGCCAAGGAAATTGATCTTAATAAGGATATAGCGGAAATCCTTGACCGAGACGAGGTCAAAGGCAGAATCAGAGTGGGCCTTGATGGTTACGAGCCTCTTGAAATGTGTCTGCCTATCATTCTGCCTCAAGGAGAAACCACTATTGTAGAACTTGAATATGAGAACCTCGGCAAACATTGCTTCTCATGTATGTCCCTATTCCATGAGGCCAAGTGGTGTCCACAACGTAGCTCTCCTACAAAAGCTCCTCCTCATCGCCTAGGCATTTCACAACAAAATACTCTGAGCAAGATTGAGTTGGATAAACAGAGAATGGACTGGAGGAGTAAAAAGAGAGAGGTGGAAGGCTCTCACCGACCATCAGACAGAGAATTTAGAGTCCATAACTCAACAAGGTACTCGCCCCCAGCCAGAAATTATGGACGAGACCGCTTACAATAAAAAACCTCTGCTCATGAGGGATGGAGGGAAAGACCACGTACCCAGTACAGGCAAAAAGACCCTAGACATCATCCCTACAGAGCCTCCCCGCATCACTCTGATTATGAGCGAAGGTATGACAGCTCAAGGTCTAACCCATCTTCTCCAGTTATCCAGAGAAACCGGGTCACTACCAGGCATTCTCCTAGGAGGTTTCATGGAGAGTCTCAGCTGTCAAAAAGCCATTCTCAAGCCTCAAAGACGCCCTCTCCAAAACCACCTAGAGAACCTATGAATACATCTTTTTCCTCAGGTATGAGGGAAGTTACAAGTCCACTACGTGAAAAAAGACCCATCTTTGAGCGGCTTTCCCTAGTGGACCAACACGAATCTGATATCCAATATAATACCTCAGGATTGAGGGGTAATGGCAGTGCACAAAGAGAAAGGTGACCAGCTCTGGAAAGAATATCTCTCATAGAACCTCAAGTAAACCACCAAACGGCAGAGTATGCCATCCCTGAGCTGACTATGCTCCAAGAGGTCCACATACAAAATACTAATGATGAGAATCATACTAGTTTCTTCTTAAATAGGCTATTCCATGAGCCAACTGCGGGAGCCTCTACTTCCCTCACCCAAAGATTGGTCTTCCCAGATGATGAAGATAACTCTAGATCCTCTCAAGAGGAGCCACAAGACCTTCGGGTTCAAAATAGTGGACCTACTATATAGGCAGGTAACAGACTGAGCAAAAGACTCCTCAACAAGACAAAGTTGTCTAAAGCCACTATCTCTAAAGCGGATAAAAAACGCGTCGGCAGAGGCACATAAAAAAGGATTAACTCCAGCCCTTTAAAAGGGTTGAACTTGAGAAAAAAGAATGTTATGAGAGGCAATCCCTCTCCCAGAAAGAAACGAACTGGCCCTAGAGAGAACCTCAACAATTCTGAACCTGCAGAGGTAGAAACATCACATCACGGACCAGTCCCTGCTATGGTTTTGGTCCCATCTCTAAGCGGGGGAGT